CTCAGGATGAGTTAGGTGTACTTCCAGATATGGTACGAAATATCTTGGAATAATCTTTCCAACGCCGCCGAGTTTGCGTGATTCCGAGTTCTTATGAGTGAGATATTCCCTTTGGAAGTTGGGTTGTTCGGATAAGGAAAGTCCAATTCGGATTTTGGAAGGGTAATTTAGTCTTTTCCTTACCCAATTGTTATAATTCATTTTTAGGAGTTTAATTGGGGTAAATTCAGATTTTAGTCAGTTTATAAAATTTGAAGTTCACGCTAGGGCTTGGAGAAAAGAGAAAAGAGGACAAAGGAGAAATCGTTAAGAACGTTCGAGTTAAGCTTGTGGATTTCGTCAAGGGGTGATCCCTACAAGGTATGTCACATAGCATTGGTTCAATTCACCCACGCGCCAAATCATGTTTTATTTCAGTGAATTGAGTCTTTGAAAGTTTAGAAATTGAATTCTTGATGGGTTTGTTGAAGTTCCTTTGAATTCTTGATTCGTTGAAATTGTTGAGGAATTGTTTGATTCTAATTCATGTAATTAGTTGTGATTTCAAGTAGAATCTGATGTATTTGGATGGTTTAGTCGATTCTAAATATTTGTGAAAAGAACCATTGAAGTTTAGAGGGTTTAGAGATGAAAAACGAGCAAGAAAAATTGTAAAACAGCTGGGAAAAGGGTGGGGAGTCGCGCTAGCCAGCGCGCCCCAAAAGGGTTTCTGGATTTTCACCCTTGGGGTGTCGCGCCAGCCAGCGCGCCCCAGACCAGTCTTTGAATTTTGAGGGCTGGCGCCCCGCGCCTCTTAGAGCGCCAAGAACGCCAGTTCTCCCCATTCGTCCCCCATCTTTTCATACTTGTTCCTTAGCAATGTACCTATGTTTCTTAGTTGATTCCAACACTCTTAGGTACATCTAAACATCATGAAATCATCCCTAAACATGAGATCATGAACCTTGAATCCATAATTCAATTCAAGGAAACTTAAGAGTCAAGTCTAGAAGTAAAGAAGCAAGTCAAGAGAAGTTTATAAAGTTTTCAAAAGTCTTTCACAAACGTTTTAACTTTGTTTTAAGACTTAAGTTTCAAGTTAATCAAAGAGTAAAGAGTTGAGTTCATTTCTCAAAAATCTATAAGGGAACTAAGTATTCCCAAGAGTTTAATATGTTTTCACATTTGAACAAGAAAGGGTAACATCGCTTTCCAAGAGAGCTTTTAAGCTAAAGTTTTGAGTAATTATCTCAAACCAAAGAAAGAAGTTTTGATTTTAAATCATATGAGTTAAGTATATTTTGCGAGTAGTATTGAGCACTGATATGAGGATGCGAGTTCATATTAACTCAAGTCTCCATAAACTGTGTAGCCATCATGGGTAGTAAAGGATCATACTTTTTATATGACACATTAAGATGCTTTTAGCATAGACGAGAGGATCCACTTAGTTAAGGCGTTCTATATGACGGCAAAGTATAGGACAGTACTGGCAGCATGGGCAAGACGTTGTATCACCATTTAGGATCATAGTGGTGATTGTCGGTTAGAGAAACTCCCATAGAAACTATATTAGTTTATTATATGAGTAAATTTGAGTTTGTTATTGCATTTTCTTTAACGAATTAAGTTGTTTTCTGTTGTTTTAAAGGCTTTATATGTATTGCATGTGTTTTATTGCTTTATATTGAGTTAAGTTATTCAGGAGTTGAGTAAGGCCAACGTAAGTGTTTCTTTCAAATTCTTTTTAAGCTTAAGTTATGTTTAGCATTACAACTCGCATACTCGTACATTCAATGTACTGATGCCAGTTGGCCTGCATCTTATGATAATGTAGACGCAGGTAACCATGATCAGCATCCAGCGCCTCGTTGATCTAGTTGAGCAGTTAGAGTCAGTTGGCGAGCTTCCTTGCATTCCGGAGGACTCTTTTTATCATTTGCTTTCAGTATTTCATTGTTAGGATGATCGGGGGTCTTGTCCCGACATCCCTTTTTGTTTTAGAGGTTTCATAGATAGTTAGTAGTTTAGCTGTCTTTACATTGTCATTTCATATGTTAAGACTTGAGTTGCCATTTTGGCCAAGTTGAATGTTGACTTTTAAACATTCTAAATTATTTTACTAAACCATTGAGTAAGTGCATTTGATCATTGTAATAATGCTTAGAGCCTTCCGCTGAGTAAGTATGCCAGGCCAAGGGTTCGCTTGGGGCCATCAATGGTTCTCGAGTGCCAGCCACGTCTGGAGTGTAGGCTCCGAGCGTGACATACTCATCTCAAGAATGTTCAACTCGTAGGGTTCCTGCGGAATTATGGGCATGAACAACTCAACTCATGGACCCCATGGATAATATGTAAATGGTCCATGATTAGGAATAAAATCTCAAAGAATTAGGACTCAATGCTCAATGACTTAGAACTCGAAGATGCTACTCCTCTCGAAGACACTCAATGTATGGAGTTCATGCGTAATTTATGAGCATGAACGACTCGGCCCAAGGGTCTACATAACAGTATGGAACTCATGTATAGGATTCTTCTCATTCTCATACTTACTTCCTCAAAACTTAGCTCAAAATCGATAGTTGATCTCAAAGGCTTCACAATTGAACTCAAAGACTTTCTTGAACTCTATTCTTAACTCTCTCTTGAATGTGAATTATGAATTCAAGTGTTATGGTTCATGACATGAAGGATCTCACGATGATCAAGTAGACTTATGAATACATTCTCCTCACTCTCATACTCACTTGCTTGAGTCTTGAAACAAGTTATTAGAAATTGTAGAAGACTCCTCAAAAAGACTCAAAAGGACTTTCTCAAAAATGTTTGAAAGAACTCTCAAACTTGACTCTCAACTCTACCTTGAATTTGATTTATGAATTCAAGGTTGTCATTTGTGATATGAAAGATCTTGTGATGTTTAGAGGTGATTTTAGATAGTTAAACCTGAGAAAAGATCAAGAAATCATTGTCTGGAAGCAAGTCTGCGACGCGGAGATGCATTTTAATATTTGGTCGCGAAATAACTTTTGAGGCAGAGGGGTCGGTGACCACTCCGTGACGCGAAGAAAGTTTTTATGAAATGGGAAGGCAGGTCCGCGACGCGGATTGGGTTGCCATATTCGCCCGACTTTTTCCTTCTTCGTTTTCTAACCCCAATTCGTCTAAATTTGATTCTTTTGCTCAACTTCTCTTTAGATTCAAATACCCAATACATGTACACTAGAATATAAATCAAAACAACTCCATAAATCGATGCAATAATCTCAAGAACTCCTCAATCTCAGCCCAATTCAAGAACGAAAGTAAATTCAAGAACACATATCAAGAACATCAAACCTTCAACTTTCTAGAACGAATTTAACGCTGAAATTAACATGATTGGCATGTGGGTGAACAAACCCAACACTATGGAAACTTACATACCTCTTAGGAATCAAACTCATGGCGAAAATTCGCAACAAAACTCACGAACCTCGACGAACGCCTTGATCCTTTCCTCTTTTCTCTTCTTTTCTCTTCTTGAACTCTCAACTAAAACCCTAGGCGTATATTAGGATTATAAAGCTGAACCTAATCGGATTAGATCCTTAAAAACATACTAAAAATGAATTAAATCTAATTGGGTTTGGAAAAGACCAAAATACCCCTTACTATTTTCGGGTAACTTGCCTTAACCGGACAGCCTAACTTCAAAAGGGAATATCTCACTCATACGAACTTGAAACTTAGCAAACTCAGTGGCGTTGGAAAGATAATTCAAAGACCTTTCATTAGTTATCTTGTAGCCCGCCTAACTCATCATGTACTAAGAGTTATGGTCGTTTGAAGTTGACCCAAAACTCATAACTTGCAAAACTTCAGATTTTGCTATTTCCAAATTTAGTTCTTTTTGGAACTCAAGGTGCTACATCTAGTGACCTGACCTTAATACTTAAGAAATTTTAAATTCTTTGATAAAATCCTACTCACAACGAAGGATGATTCAAGTCTTAGCTAAAAAAAATTCTGGGGTGTTACAAGATGTAGTATTATTTTAACAAACAATAAAGCATTTAGCCATTTTATTTTCATTGTAATTGAATGTACTAACATTCCGTAGTGTAATAACTAAGAGAATTTTAATGTCATAACAAAAGTATTAAAGTGCAGTTGTTAAACTTCAAATTATGTTATTATGTAATTGAAATATTTGTATTTAATTATTTTATAATTTAATGGAGGAGTAAAATAGTGATTCAACCTCATACTTTGGAGCGTTTCATTTTTAATAATTATGTCAATGTATCATTGTATTATTGCTCCAAGAAGTGGTGGTTGACAATGGTAATGATAGTGATGATTATGATGGTGGTTAGTGTTGTTGGTTGATGATTACGGACAGAGGCGGGTCCACCCCTCTAGGTGGGGGTGCACGTGCACCCATTAACTTCAAAAAATATCATGTATATGTATGTATATCTATCTTGAGAAACTGACAAAAACTAAGATATAATTAAAAGTGCACCCATGAAAATCATAGGAGTGCCGTTGTGCTATTGGTACAAGTTAGAGAATCCACTTGTGAGACCTGAGTTCAAATATAGCTAGAGTGTTTATTTTAAGTTAATCTTAGAGTTCATATTTGATCTAAGGTGTATACAAATTATCCACTTTTCTTTTACTTAGTTACTATATGAGAAATTTACTAGAAAACCCAAGGCTTCATCTAAAATGTCATTTTGGCCTATGAATTATTGAAACACAAGAGAGGAAAAGGTAAAAACTATTCATTTTCAAAACAAAATTGTATAGTAGAATTTGGAATTGACATCCTATTAAAACAAAGATAAACAACTTATTTTCTTTCCAAAAGGCAAGCTACTGTAGAACAAGAATCTTTCTTTGTTTCTCTACTTTTTTGCCTTTTTCACTTTTGACTTTTTGGCTTCTTTAGCTTTTTGCTTTTTCAATAATTTCACTTGTCGTATGCTATTTCAAAGATTATAATCAAGTCTTAAAGAAAAATAATCAAGTAGCTAGTAATATCAATTGATGCCGGACGACAAGAAGATGCTATGTTTACAATTTGATGATAACAATTTGGAATTCAGTTATTTACAGGGCCTTTCTATATTGCTGCCAACTATTGTTCTGGTTTATTGTCTGCTCAAATTTATTCTTCAATTGCTAATTCATCATCCTCAACATATGTCTCAGCCCAAAAAAAGAGAGATAGAAATCGTTACGAACGAAAAATCAGATGCTTCAGATCAGTTGGATGAAGCAAAAGGCAAACAAGCTGTTCTGTACAGATTTAGGCTGAGGCACAAAAAGATACAAACAGAAATAACAAGCTGTTCTAAATTGATTGATAAGGAAGAGGAAATTTGTGTGTCAAAAATGCCTCCTCGTCTTCGTGATGGTGATCTGGTGCATTTCAGCCACAGACATCCTTTGCTAAGATTTCATCTTAAAGGAACAGACGTTATAAGATGCAACATGTGTACTATTATAATTTCCGGGGTAGCTTATGGCTGCGATTGTTGTCGTTACTTTCTCCATGAGGTATGTTCTAACATTCCTAAAAGAATTCGACATGATTTTCATCCTATGCACTCAATCACTCTTCTTCCCATTCCTTCAATCGCTCTTTGGCATTCGAAAGTGGAAAGTGAATTCTGTTGTGTGGCATGTGGTTATGACAACTCATTGTTTTCATTTTACTATCATTGTGATTTGTGTAAATTTGATCTTCATCTTGAATGTGCTTCTGTGACGACGAAATTGATCCATAAGGTAAAATACCCTCTTGATCTCTTCACTTCCTTTCCACTAAAAAGTGAAGGGGCAACCCTGTTATGTTGTATTTGTAACCAAGTTATGAATAGGCAATCCGCTTGGCTTTTCTATAATCGCGAGTTTGATTACATCTGTCATTTCGAGTGTGCTGCTGAAGAAGAGGTTGGAGTTATAGGGGATCAAAGTTTCCTATCTGAAGTCCAGAAATCCTTGCTCCTCCAAAAAAGTTGTTCTGGCCAACAACAGAAACTCGAAAAGCTAGGAGAAGTTATACACTTCAGCCACCGCCACCCGTTGAAAGCAATTAAACAAACGAATAAGGCGTCAATCATGAATTGCTGCATGTGTTCAAACCAGGCTTTATCCGGTTACATTTGCCAGCTATGCAATTATTTCATCGACGAGACTTGTTTCCCTCTTCCGCGAAGGATACAACACCATTTTCACCCAAATCACCCCCTCATACTCGCTAGCTATAACGATCCCCCAAAGTCCAAATGCAGAGCTTGTGGTCATGAAGAAGGTGCAAAATACCGTTGCTCTACTTGTAAATTCAGTCTCCATCGTTGCTGTGCTGGTGCTCCCATGACATTTACCCTTGGCACAAACAAGAAAGTTTCTTATAAACTTCTCTATTCGTATCCATATGATGGTGAGATGGCAGTTATCAAATGCAGTGGCTGTTCCAGCGAGTTAAACTCAAAAGAGAGCTTCATGTACTACAATTTCGACCTCGATGAAGTGGTTCATGTCCATTGTGCACTTAATAGAGAAACTGACTCTTATGATACTATGTTTGTTTTAGCTTCTGAAAGACTGAAAAGTATTAAAATAGAGGAAGACCACTCCTAGTAGTAATGTATTGTAAGAACATCTGTTGAATTTGTTATCTATTATATATATTAGAAACTTGCTGCAAAATACATGTATCAAGTACTTGAATAATTAACATATGCTTTATTTCACAACTTTTTAATATATTACATGCCATTTTGCAGTTTTCATGTGTTTAAGTAACCCCAGCAGCATGATCCAAGGAGCTTATTTTATGGGATTGGCAAGTCATGCTTGTCTATGAGATAATAATACTGCCTGTCAAAGTACCAATCTCCAAATGCCTTTATCATTGTCTGCATAAAAGCCTTCATTAATAAGCGTTACGTGGCACCATTAGACTAGACACAAAGTTTATGAAAAAAAGATGCTTTTGAAAGTTGAGTTATTTTTTTAAAACATGGCATCTTTTTTGAGACGACAGACTAAATAATGTCATACCACATTATTCACCACACTGACATTCTGTGGCTTCCAGTAATTCTGAAGTCTAGTATGATGAAATTGAGAGTCAATAAAACCTCCTCTTGATTTTGTGTCACTTGCATTGGGCAATTTACTTAACAACTCCATTCTAAGTTCTGGAATAAAATAATTCAAATAATTAGAAAATTACAAATTTGTACTTTGGGAAAAAATAAAAAAAAAATTAATCTGACCTCTAAGGTTTTTCTTTTGATTAGCAGAGCAATTATTCTGTTTAATGGCATTGTAATAATCACCCAATGAAGTTCCAACCTGCAATACAATTTATTGGTCAAAATTCATGTAGTTTGACTCTCGGAGAAAAAAACATGACAAGTGTATATAATATAATTACCTGAACTATATCGAATGGTGACATGATTGTATAAAGTGGCGTTTTGATATATTGTTGCATGTTTTGTGGAAAGAAACACTGGAAAAATGTATCGCAATAATTTTCAGTAATATTATCAACATTAATCCACAAGAATAAAAATTAATCAAGTAACAATTTGTACCAATTCTGGCTTCATTCTTGAAGTGCAGGATTTTGGTAGTGCTTTGGCAGACCCCTGCATATATGAACTCATCAATTTATTTTTGACTCGTTCATTTGACACCTTTAGTCACGAGAATTGTCTGTTTGAGTAATATAAAATGAAACAAGAAGAAATACGAAAGGAGATTATGTACATGTAATGTAACAAGTGCTTTATAGATTGTTTCGAAGCCTTTTCCCTTCTGAAGATTCTTGTTGCTGAAATAAAAGAACAAATTGTATAATGTAATTCATAAACATATGAATCGTTCTTCAAAAATTGATCATATAACACGATAAAAATGTCTTACACATCAATGAAATAACCACTATCGGTCAAGCATTTTATTCTAGGAGTATTAGGCAATAGTTTGCTGAAGCGATCACAATATAACATTGCTGGATATGCGCCAGCAGAACTTCCAATAAGAAGGGCCTAGTAGTACAATAAAATTAAACATCGACTTATTAGTATGTCTAGACACAATATTTTTTTTACCTATGTTGCTCGGATTCTCCAAAATGCATATTTACAGAGTATTTGACATATATTTATTGATATTTTCAAGAGTTCAGCGACAGAGTTATTTATACTTTGTATAATAATTAAGTAAAGTAAGTTGACATACATTTTTGGCATCCTTTAATCCTTTTGATAACAAATCCTCCATCACTGCAGAAAAAATCCTTGCACCTCTAAAGTAAAGGTTGGTAGCCTAGAAAGACAAAAAAATAAAACTATATGATAATTAATATGAATAAAATTATAAGATAATGTTGCTTTATAATAACATACAGGATCAACTGTTTCAACATCTCCAGTGAATGCTCCTCCATCACAATATGCAACCATAACTTTGTTCCAGTTGAACAAATCTGCATGTTTTGCATTGTAAAGGTTATTAATTGTTCTGCAAAATTAACCACAAATATAAATTAAAATATCTTCCGATAGTGAGAATCGAACTTACACCTATTAAGTGGAAGACTTATAATCACATTAATATAAGTGGCTGTTAGTGATTAATTAATTCCTTCTAATTTTGTAACCAAAAATAGCACAGATAATAAAATAAAATAAAATTGGTGTTTAATTACCTGGATTAGCATTTTTATTGTTGCTAAAGTGACCTCTAAATTTGAATGGAGGCATATGTTTTGAAGAACCAAAAGAAGTAGTTGAACGATTTTGGCACTCTCTCACGTCTCTACACCATCCTCCTCCCTAAAAATAACAAACAAAAAATGCACAAATTCTAGGGTGTGACAAAAAATGTTATTTCTGGTGTTTGATTTTGGTACGTACGTACTATCACAAAGAATATTTATATATAATTTAGACAAATTTCATTTTAACGTCTTGAATTATGTTGTTAAAATAGACTAAGTTAATAAATAGACAATCATTAATCCTCCGAAACTTACAGAGAGGTGAATCATCCAGCTTTGAGCACCTTCTTCAAATCCTCTATCCATGTAGTATGCTGGTGGGCTTCCATCCAAGCAAACTGCATCTAAATGAGGTTACAACACTAGAAGACACTTTTAAAATAGGATATAGGTAGGTTTGGAGAATATTATTTTCTTCTATATTATTTATTTTATGTGATATCCTTTGATTGAGCACCAAGTTATTTTCTTTTAAAAAATTATGATCTAAAATAAGTCAATAGACATATATATATTCAATCGTTTGGATATGTAAAATAAAAAAATTCCAATCCTAGTAGGAAAGGGAGGGGAAGGAATACTCAATTTAAAGTGAGTAAACAGAATTCCGAACTTAAATAGTGCATTTATATTAAGAAGTTTATTAAATATGTAAATATTAAGTTAAGAACTCAATTATTAACACTTGAAATTATGGTTATAAAATTTAAAACAGTCATAAATTTAAAATTTTGACTTCACCTCGGCTTTGAGTTGTATAAGTGAAGGATTTTACCTGCTCCTTTAGACACAGCATTCTTAAGGATTGTTTTCTCAACAAAGTATTCATCATAATTATATGTGTCCTTTTGTTGATTAGGTGTACTTTCTGCTAATAAAAAGGTCAATGAACAAAGGAGTAACAAAACAAGTTTGAAGGATCTTGTTGCCACCATTGTCCCAACTGAGAACATAAAAAAAGTCAACTGTGTTAGGGAAATTAACAAGTTGAATAATATTCAACACTATATAATAAGAGCATATGTTGGCAAAATTCTACCACTATTTTGAAAAATATGACAATTTTAAAAAAAAATATATGTATACCTTTTTATGTCTTAAAATGAACTCACATTTGCCAATAAGAATGTACACTATCGTCTCTATATATTGGCATGCTTACAAAGTTAGGCAATCCCACCACATGGTGTAATAATGCAATTGCTATAACGTAGGGAATGACTAATTTATTTACATAGGGTGTGTTTGGTTTGAAGGATTTCTTTTTTTGGATGGGTGTTTACTTATTTTCTGATATTTGGTAAATAAATAAAAAATATTATTTCAAAAGAATTTGTATATAATCTAGTCAAATACTATTAAGGTTAACATAGTGAGTTATACAGTGTGGAGTGGCGGGCAAGGGCTGGGGGTGGGGTGGCAGTAGTGGAGCCAAGATTTTTATTAAGGAATGTCAAAATATAAAGAACTAAATTCACGAAGAAGTTAAGGAATGTCAATATGAAATATAAAATATGATTTTTACCTAACTATACAATATAATTTTTCGACAAAGGGATGTCCCCCTTAAGTACATGTGGCTACGCAACTGTTGGGTGGATGATGAGTATTTAGATAATTCGTATGGAATGTCACTTGATAAACCTAATTTTTCTCACTTTTTACTAAATATATAATAATTTTTAAGGAACTTATTTTTCTGTTAGAGAAAAGGTCTCCGATAGTGTTGAAACATGAAAAAATAGACTAACATTTTTTAGAAAATATTTTGCTCCGTTCTTAAAAAGGCTGAGAGGTTTTTATATCATTTAAATTTCTTCAAAATGAAAATATTCCCAACGAAGGTGTTTGTCAATTTGCCATATATATATATATATATATATATATATATATATATATATTTAAATTTCTTCAAAATGAAAATATTCCCAACGAAGGTGTTTGTCAATTTGCCATATATATATATATATATATATGGTAACTAATTGAAAGCAATGATCATACAGTGTATGTACAGTGTACCTTGTAGTTTAGAGCCTAATCACAAGTCTATTGCCTAACTTTTGCAAAATAATAATTCATCTATGACTCTGCTGATTCATAATGGTAGATGGGGATGGGATGCTTTCTCTTTTATTTTGATTGTTATATTTTTTTCTTTTTAATTTTAATATTTTAAATTAAAATTATTGTCTACACTCGCTTTTAAACGAATGTATTCATGCATTTCATATGATTCAGCTAAATAAATATCATGCAACTTTGATTAATAGTCAAAGGGATTTAAAATAATGTGTTTTAATAACTTTAAGATTCACTTGGTAAAGTTATGAGTAGAAGGATCTAGGTGACAATTCAAATCAAGTATAAGGGTCTCTCAAGTCATTCCGCCTAAGAAATATATGAAAATTTTGGGTTGTTACAAGACTTCCCTAAAAGTAAATGAATTTTTAAATAGGAAAGTACGATTTTGTAGACTTTTTTGTCAAATAAGTGGAGCCGAACATAGGTAAAATATTAATAGTGTAATTAAATATTTGTAAAAGAAAATATATCATTCTTTTTTGCTGATTAAAAAAAAGCGTGTCACATAAATTGAGACCAAAGTAGTAGTAATTGTTATTAAATATTGTGGTATGATGTTAGGATATTGTATTATCTAGTTTATTATAGTATACAATGTACCTTGTACTAGTTTAGAGCCTAAACAGAATTAATCTTTTGCCTAACTTTTCTAAAATAATTTATGTATGAGTGCATCCCGTGAGACTTGAGAAGCAATTGAAGGAAAAATATATTTAAGCTTCCATCTAATACTAGCTCCAATTATTGGCTTAGTGTTTAT